CCCCCCCCACTCTTTACCACCTGCTGCTCCCCCATCTGGTTGTCTCTCCCTCCCTTCCCGCTTCTCAGACACCTCCTTCCACATTCAGGGGGCCCGGGCCCAGGCAGCGTTAGGGCCGTGCACGTGTGCGTGTGTGTGTGCGCGCAGTACGGGTTGAGCTGGGGCCTCGAGGGGTTCAAGAGCAGGCTTGGTTCAAGAGGGGACCCCGAACGGGTAGCCAGGCTGGTGGGACCCTCGATGACAGGCTTCCTCTTGAGCCAAGGCTCAGACAGCTTTTCATCTCCTTTTCCCCTCACAGGCCAATTCTCCTCCTGTGATTGTCAACACAGACACCCTAGAAGCCCCGGGATATGTGAGTTGTTTAGATTTTGGGGCCACTGCAGAAGGCTGGAGGGAGAGTGGGAGGGCCTGGGCCCCAGCAGCAGGGGAGGGGCCGGTGCTCAGGTCGGAGTGTCCGGCTCACGGGTGTTGTGTTTCTGGTCCGTGCTGGAGTTGCAGGTGAACGGGACGGAGGGGGAAATGGAATACGAGGAGATCACATTGGAAAGGGTGAGCAGGCTCCCCCGCCCCCTGCCCTGAGGTCCCCCCAGCTCCCTGTCACGCTTCTCTCTGTGCCTGTGTGTACTAGGTGGCCGGTCCCTTAGTCTTGTCCCTTCCTGCTCCCGTCACGGCCCCTTGGCCCATGCCCCCGCCCGAGTCCGAGCCGCCTTGCCCGGAGCGGGCCGCCAGGAGGGCTGACGCTCCTCCCCTCCTTCTGCCCAGGGCAACTCAGGTCTGGGCTTCAGCATCGCAGGCGGCACCGACAACCCACACGTTGGTGACGACCCGTCCATCTTCATCACCAAGATCATTCCTGGCGGGGCCGCGGCCCAGGACGGCCGCCTCAGGTGGGGAGGGGACACAGGGCTTAGGGTGCCGGTTTCCTCGAGAGGGAGGGCCAGGGCAGCAGGAAGCTCCTGGCTCAGGCCAACCTCGCTGCCTCCAGGGTCAACGATAGCATCTTGTTTGTGAATGAGGTGGACGTGCGGGAGGTGACCCACTCAGCCGCGGTGGAGGCCCTCAAGGAGGCGGGCTCCATCGTCCGCCTCTACGTCATGCGGCGGAAGCCTCCAGCTGAGAAGCTTATGGAGATCAAACTCATCAAGGGGCCTAAAGGTAGTGACCCGTCGTGTCTCCACCCCCATCCCGACCGTCCCCCGCCCCAACGCCGGCTCCCCAGCCAACCTGGACGTCCACCTCTGTCCTCCCCTCCATCCAGGTCTTGGCTTCAGCATCGCGGGGGGCGTAGGGAACCAACACATCCCCGGAGATAACAGCATCTATGTGACAAAGATCATCGAAGGGGGTGCCGCCCACAAGGACGGGAGGCTGCAGATTGGGGACAAGATTCTAGCGGTGAGGACCCCTGTCACTCTTCCAGCCCACACTTGGGTCTCGCCTCCTGGCCCTCCGGGAAGGCCCCGTCCTCCTTGGCACCTCTCCCACGGTGTTGTCTGTCTTGGGGCTGTTTCTGGCTCTGTCTGAGCTCCCCTTCCTTGGCCCCAGGTCAACAGTGTGGGGCTGGAGGACGTCATGCATGAGGACGCCGTGGCAGCCCTGAAGAACACATATGACGTTGTCTACCTGAAGGTGGCCAAGCCCAGCAATGCCTACCTGAGTGACAGCTATGCTCCCCCAGACATCACAACCTGTGAGAACCCTCCAAACCTCAAAGCCTCCCATGACCCATCCCAGTTACCCCCATGACATCCCAGTGAGTGTTCCTCTTCAGATGCTCCCCACAAAATAGAAACAATGTCTCTTCTTCTGCGGTTGGAGAGTAGGTGAAAAAATCAGTTACCGTACAAGACCTAGAAAAGCTTGTCGACAGTCTCTCCCCCAGAAGGCACAAGGTCCAGATGGTTTTGTAGCTAATTTCTCTCAAATCTTCAAGGAATAGATCATTCTTCTGCTCCTTCCGAGCATGAGGACAGATAAAAAGGTTCACGTTTCATTTTATGAGGGCGTTTCAAAGGGTCCCAAAGATAACATAAAAGAGGGAAACTCAACCCCAATTTTGCTTCTGAATAGAGAGGTAAAACTTTGTAGGAACATAGTTGCAGACCAAATACAGCAGCCAATGAAAGGAATAACATCCTCACAAAGTAGGGGTTTTTTTTCCTTGGGGAAACTAAAAGCACTTCTGTATTGGGAGACCTCTTAATATGATTCATCGTGTTAAACAACGGACAGAAATTGGAAGGTCATTTGAAATTGATGCGGGAAAAGACGTTGAGGAAATTCAACATCCGTTTTCACACGAAAACTTAGTAAACTAAGGACACAGGAGTTTTCTTTCACGTGATGAAGAGTAGTTCTCCTCCCAAGAGGAACCTTGGCTCCTTGGGGAAAGGGCCTGTTCCAGATCCTGTGCCGGAAATGCACAAGACGAGTTTGTAACATCTTACAGGCTAGAAAAACAGTAAAGCTACCCAGGACTCTAGGGCGTGTTATCGACGCAGGAGGGGCTCCCACTGGTTATTCAATCACAACTCCTCAAATAGGTGGAGGTCCATGAGATCATAATGATGCTTAAGAATAATTGGGCACCTTTGGAGGATGCTAAGGGCCCATTCGTAATGAAAACTGGCAAATGCGGGGACAGAGTCAGGTGCTGTACAAACTGTACCTCAGAATCACCAAATGGTTGATATGGGAGAGTTCTTTTTTATTTTTTTATTTTTATTTATTTTTTAATTTTATTCCAGTGTTTATTTTTGTTTTTGAGAGAGAGACAGAGAGAGCATGAGCAGGGGAGGGGCAG